CTCAGGCAGTGGTTACCTACAGATACCTATTTTCAATTTCGCCCCAGTCTTCGACCATTACATATGGATATCAATCGCTATATCCTATGTATTAACGGCAACACTGGCCTCATATACTAGTCTACGAGTATAGGAACAACTCTATTGAGCTGTCGGGTGCTATGTTAGCCGTACTCATAGAGTTGGCTAAAAAGCTCAAACTCAGGTATAAATGATACCCAAAAATATATTTATTTAATAAATTAATTATTTTCAATAGTTTGACATATTATAAACCGGAAAATGATACCACCGAGCTATATTATGGGTATTTAAACACTGGCGAAATGGACTTGCTTATATTCCCCACGGCACCTACTAGCCTAGGTTTTGTAAACTGGACATTGAGCCACCCCTTAGGTTTCATGGACACCATAAGTATACTCTCAGGCAGTGGTTACCTACAGATACCTATTTTCAATTTCGCCCCAGTCTTCGACCATTACATATGGATATCAATCGCTATATCCTATGTATTAACGGCAACACTGGCCTCATATACTAGTCTACGACCAAATGTATCTCAATATCTACTCTATTATTCAATATTAACAAATCAGTCAAATAAACACGACTTGAGACAAATGTCCGCCAATTATACACTTGTGTTGATCTGTTGGCTATTCCTGACGACAATAATCTACTGGAGTTTTCACGAGGAGTTCCTCTCATCGGTGTTTCACACGAAACCTCACGTGAAGATAGACTCCATCGAGGATTTGGCGCAGTTTTCATCGGACGGACGGATCGTCGAGTTCTACGCCCTGACCGGCGAGTCGTGCGATAATTACGTGAACACCAGTGACGACTATATTGTCCAAAGGTTGAAGTCCAAGATCAAGGTGATCGATGTGGATGAGTCCGTGAAGAATAAGTGGGAATCGGAGGTATTTCCGAAATTAGATTCTGGTGCGTACGCCCTGGTCAGTGATAACGCGTATTTGGACTACTATTATATCACCAAAATAGATAAATATCCCAATTTGTATCGTGCAAAAGAAGATTTTATGGCACTGCCCTACTTTATAGCCATGTCCGATAGGATTACACTTGAATTTACGAAAGAACTTAATATTATGTAAGTCTAATGTGGTTTTCTAATATTAAATGGATATTACTATGTTAATTATTCATGAACAATTAAAACTATAAATTAATATAATTAATTTATATAACTAACTAATATAATTAATATAACTAAATTTAAAAAATCAATGCTACTAAGAATAAAGTATTAAGAATTCTGAGCATTAAGTATAAATGAGATTAAAATAAATGTATCATGCAAAATAAATTATATTAATGTATTTTATTTGTGAATTGTAATTAGAGTGAAACAATTTCTGTCGTCCGGTATATACAACAACTTTGTAAGTGAGGCCCTATTCCTCAACAACGATGCCTTACACCATGGTTTCAAACCACGTGATGAATCCCACCACACCGCCCAGGGATTAACAATGGCTCACTTTTATGGGAATTATATACTAATTAATTGCGGATTATTCATATCGATAATGGCTTTTATATGGGAAAGCATATCAAATCGCAGAATAATTAAAAAGTTTTATCAAAAAGCATATCCGGACAGGTATTATGGTAAGACACTGAGAATAAATCACCAAAATCTCAAAGTTTATCGAAATATGAGTTTAAAACCTCAATACCTAAGTAAACGGCTTATAAAAGATATGAATACTGCTAATGATAATACAAAACGTTTGCCGTTTACATCAAATCTCTATTATTATTCATTTGCAAAAGATTTATGACTATGGTATCATTCATTTTAATCCAGTCTATTACATAAATTATACAATACACATACGTTATTATTTATATAACTTAAAATATATTATTATTATTAATTAAAAAGTTTATATTCTTTAATAAAACAAATTTTTAATGAACAATTATGGTGGTTATATTAACATTATTAACATAGGTAATACATGTATTTGTTTTTATACAGTTTAAAATAGTTATATTATATTAGTTATTATATTGATATAAACATTATTTGTAATCTAATAAAATAGATAATTATAATTTTACAATCCAAATCTTTTTATTTCTATACATTCAACGGACAATAAATTCCCAATTTATCAATTATTACAGAATATATCAAATGCTTAACCAAGATTATTATATCTGTGGACCATCGTATATTAATCTCCATAAAACTATAGAAAATTTTATTTTTCTAAATCCTTGTATCAATTGTGTCACTAAAACACATACAGTTTTTACTATTTGTTTGACTTATGGGTGGTTTCTGGTGATTGAGTTTCAAATGAGCCTTATTTGCGATAATCGTAATCAATATGAAAGCCGTGAGACTCGTGGCGGCCATTGATCCGCAATAATATAGCAGGACTTCGGGGTTGTCCTCGAGGAAGGGGCCCTCAATGAATTGGGTTATGATCTCCAGTAAACCCAATAGAGACACATATATTGTGCCGATTCTGTCCGTCACCTCAAAGTAGGTCTCGATGTACGAGAAGGTGGCCGACCAGAAGGTGGCGATCCCTATGCCTATAGACACACATCCATAAACACACAATTAATATAAATACCACTACAAATAGAGCATATTATAAAGGACTGACCAAAAAGTACATTTCCCGTCCACATGACTATAGTGTTGTGGTTTGCAAAGGATAGGAGAACTAGACTCGTGAATACAATCAAGTAATGAAAGGATAATATGTATTGCGGGCGCACTCTATAGGCCACGTATATACTACAGGCGCGTGTTAGGGTATATGACGATGTCATGATTGTCAACAGTATTGCCGTTTGGTATCCTATTTGTAAAAATTCAAAATTAATTATATTTTGTCTGAAGTGTATAAAAGTGTAATCAAAAACACAGATACCCTTAGCGTTGGAGTAATATCGGAAAAAAGTGGGCGAAAAGTCAAGGAATGCCGCCTCGCAGGTCAGTATCGATGAGAAACATACGGCACCCAACCCTATGACCAACAAACGAGACGCACCCGACGGCTCCACTTGTAAGGGTATGTCCGGTGTGTCCATCACTGGGAACGTCGAGAATCGTCTCTTTCGTTGCGATGAACGCAACCTCTTATTATACCTCTTATTATGTGCAGTAGTATTCAATTCGGTCGATTGTACGGACAACCTTGCTCCTAAATTGTGACCCTCAGCACCGGCACGTGACAAACCGTTTTTCCAATGAGGGTCCTTATCTTCGATGATGTGTACGCTATATCGGCGCCGATATATGGGTTCAACAGGTTTTTCAATATCTTGTTCATTGGTTTGTTTGTCTTGCGATTGAGTGTTAGGAATATATTTGCGACACAAATACATGATTAACATTATAATCGCACCCAATATCTGAAGGGAACCGGTGGCTAGAAATGGGGGCAACAGTTTGTGGCTATAATTGATAGTTGTATTCGTAGCCAATGTATCTTTCATACAGTGCTCATCACCTGTTGGTAGAGATAAATGTTTATTATTTTTAAAAAATCATTGATTGTATAGTACTTGTACAAGGAATTAATATAAGTTATATTGTTATATATATATAATTTTATATATATATTAAAATATTACACTCATGGTAAATCACTAACAGGAAATTAATAGACTACAAAGTAAACTATAAAATAATATAAAAAGTAGTATGGATAATAATATTTAGTTTTAATTGATATATTAATAACAACTCTTTAGTACAAAGGCAAACGGACTGACCGACAAGAAATGGTCCGACCACTAGGGGGCCGATAGTTATGCCCAACCCATAGCCAAACTCCGATAACTGTAAGAGTGCACCGCTTTTGGAGTCCCACATCTCAATGAGCCAAACGGTCTTAACCACGTCTATAACACCGGCGCCGATACCTTCAATCAAACCAAACAAATACATAAACCAAAAGCTAGGGCTCATTGGCATGAGTCCCGTGGCTAAGCCATAGGCCGTTACTATCAGTATAAATGTTAACTGACGGTTTATGTATTTAAATAGAAAGCCAACTATATGCACAAAAATGATAGATAATTACATGATTTAATGCTGAAATCATACATTTGTTAAACATATATCACATACATAGCGATCCGACTAACGTTCCGATGGCATAGAGTGTGTAATAATGGGTTACGATATTGAAGTCGGCGTCCACTATACACGTGAAGTCCAGTAAAGCCGGCGATACTATTGTCACTGATATTCCCTATCATAGTAATTGTTATAAGTTTTACAATCTATAGACAAATATATTTGAATGATAGAGACAAAAAGGCAGATGTGAATAGATAATTATTAAGCTAAAATTGTTTTGTTTAAAAAGTCAACAGCAATTTATATTTATTGTATGACTGAACAATTAATTTGTAATACTAAATAATAAGTTAGAATACTACACATCTAAAACTAAATGGTATTAAATATAAACAGCAAATAAATATTCACTATATCATAGGGTGCACAAATTAAAAGCTTTGATCAAAAAATACAAAACATTATAACTGTAAAAACGATTTAATATTAAACTCTATAGGATGACAATATTTCAGTTAACATCTATAGGTTTCATAAAATGATTGCGTGTTTGAAGTAATATTAGGGGAGTTAGTGAGTGGGTGAGAGAGAGAGAGAGAGAGAGAAAGAGAG